CCTCCCTGAGAGATTGCTGATATTTTTACAGCCCAGCCTTGGAAGTTCCCAGAACAACCCTCCTTCCGCTGGGGATACAGTTAATATTTCTACTCTGTGTTGAACTCAGACTGGTGATGATGTCTGTTGGCTCCTGCTTCTCAGACATCGGAGCCCCAGCCTCAGGCTACAGGCTCTTCTGAGAACAAAAATACATCAACATCATTTCAAAAAACAGCATCCCTGCCCGGCACTTGAGAAAATGCGCAGGACTTTGCCACGGCAGCAGCGAAGAGCCCCGGTGAGCTCCTTATCTTCTGGTGCCATCAAGTGGTGGTTTATTTGTTTGTTTTGTTATTTGTTTGTTTGGGGGTTTTTGAGACAGGGTCTCCCTGTGGCCCCAGCTGTCCTGGAACTCGCTATGTAGACCAGGCTGGCCTTGAACTCACAGAGATCGTCCTGCTTCTGCCTCCCGAGTGCTGGGATTAAAGGCGTGCACCACCACACCCGGCCAAGGGGTGGGTTTTTTATAGACGTTGCTTAGCAGGCTGCGCGGCAGTCTATACTCGGATAAGGTTATGGCATGAAATACTCTACTTGGAGACTGGGGAGATGGTTCAGTCAGTAAAGTGCTTGCCATACAAACATGATGATCTGAGTTTGGATCCCCAGAACCCATGTCACAAGACTGTAATCCCAGTACGGGGGAGGTAGAAACAGGAGGATCTGGGCTAGCCAGTCTAGACAAACTGGATTGTTCTAAGCTCATCGAGACACTCTGTCTCATAAAGTAAGGTGCCTCCACATGCACACCCATACACGTGTAAGTACACTGGCCGCACACACAGGGTCTCTTACACTTCCTGTATGTCATTTCTTTGTAAATTCGCATAAGCAGTCAAGGAAGGCTCAGGGGATGGCAGGGGTGCAGCCCAAAGAGGCCAGCCAGAGGAGGGGTCCCCACAACAGAGTGATTTGGAGTCAGGGGAGTGCTACTGGGAAAAAACTGGATCAAACAGATGGTTCAACATATTTGTACATTTACAAAGTATATATTGTTAAACGCACCACATACTAAGTGGAAAGAATAATGGTGATATAATGAAAAATAAGGATAAGCATAAAATATGAAAGTAAGAACTACAGGACAATATTTAACTTTAGTGAAAATAAGAATTTATACTTCAAGAAAATACAAAATAAGCACAATACACCACTCAGCACGTCCTTCTGTGAGGAATATTTACATGGTCAAGCGTGGTGGTGCATGCCTTTGATCCCAGCACTTGGAAGGCAGAAGGAAACAGATCTCTGTGAGATCGAGGCCAGCCTGTTGTATATAGTGAGTTCCAGCCCAGCTGGGGCTCTGTTTCAAAAAAAAAAGTCTTTAAAAAGCTTTTCTTGCCTTTCTGGTCCACAAAGCAGTGAACACACAGTACCTTTCTCTACCCAGGACCATCACAACTCAGGCACTGGGCTGAAGCTCATTCTGTCATTGTTTCTGGCTAAGAGTTTTATTCATTCATGAAGAGATGGTCACTGAGCCCCAACTCCTACGTGCAGGTGTCGAGGCAGTGCTCAGGGTGCTGGGGATACAAAACAGAGTAGGAGTAAAGGGGCATTTGACAGGTGGTCAGGGTTAGCCTCTCTGCCCAAGGGGCATTCGAGGAAAATCCTAGCTAAAATGAAGTTAGAGGACTTGATCTCTGGCAATTTAGAAACTATATGCTGTAGTTGCAGTGATGCCAAAAGGCCCAGCAGGGGCTCCCACCAGCCTAAGACAGCAGCAGCCTGTGAGTGCTAACGGCCATGCCTGCAGGGAAGGAGTGTGTCTGGTTCAAGTTCAACCAGGAGACAGCACTTTGCCCTGTGGTACTTTGGATAATCCCTGCTTTCCCTGAGTATCCCCTAAGGGTCTGTTGTAATCGAAGGCTTGGTCTGCTAGATGGAGACTTTGGAGGTGAGGACAACAGGGAGGTAACTAGGCCCAAGGTCAAGGTGCACTTAAGGGTGGAGGGGTACCCCACCCCAGTACCAATCTCTCTCTCAGGTATGAACACTGCTTCTACACTTTCCCACTGTGATGTGATGTCCTCACAAGAGGCCCAATCAATAGGGCCATCTAAGCTCGGACTTTGAACATCCCAAACTGTGAGCTAACCCTTTTCTATTAAGCTAGTGGCCTCAGGTTGTACCAATGCAAATAGTCTGCTGCTCAGGTTCAGAAGGACATCCGGTGGGTCAGAGAAAGTCACCAAGCACAACAGCCTTCCTGTGCCAAATCAGGAACTAGAGTACGATCTACTGAAATAGTAAAATTGACATAGATGGGTCAGTAGTTAATGGGCAGAAAATGAAAAAAAATATATTCTCTTTATTTGTAAAATGACAACAGGTGAATCTGTGGCAATTCTTAAACCTCAGTTCCCTGATCTCTCCTCTGCCGTCCTCTATCCAACTGTCCCAGGGGGAGGCAGGCCATAGGCCTGACCAGAAAGTCAAATTTTTGGCTCTGAACTTTATTTAGAATTTTGGAAAGCTAGGTCAGAGGCAACTGGCTGAACACCAAAGTGCCTGGACTCGCAAGAGCTGGCTCCGAGCGCCTTTATTTGGCTTATTTTTTCACAGCTCTAAAAACTAGCATGGCCTATTCATGGCAGACCTCTTACATCCCAAAGTTATGGGAAGAAAAAAATGTACACTGATAAAAGAGCATTTTTCCATCCAAACAGAGATAAATGCCCAGGCAGCCGAGCTGGCGGGAAGCTGGGGCTGGCAGGCCAGTGGCCCCTGGGCAGGCAGCAGGCTAGAGAAGGCCTCATATGGCTTGAAGGACCCCAGAGCTAAAAGGCCTTCTTGGAAGCCTTGTAGGTGTAAGTGCAGGCTCCATTGTGAACACCGCATCCAAACCTCACCTGGCTCTCTCTGCTCCCCCAACCTCCTGACTTCTGTTGTCTTAGCTGGTCCTCATGGTATGCCTGGTCACATCAACATCGTATTGGGAGATGGGTAGGTGTGGGATGTTGGTTTTCTGCCACCCTTGCGTCAGGAAAACAGAAGCCACCTGTGGTAAACTGACATGATTTTGTTCTAGGGATGGGAGGCAGCCTGATGAACAAACGACCTTGCTCTGTCCCCTCAGAACAGCAGGAGGATGGGGTCACTGTGTCAGAAGGCTCTTTAGGCTCTGACTCACAAGGTCAGGTGAAAGGGGGTGACACTCACGCTCCTCCATTCTGTCCCTACCTGCAGCACCAGTCTCCTCTGACAACACAGCAGGCATGTCACCTGAGAGAAGTAGCCTTCATCGTGGGACAGTGAAGTGTGGATCCCAGGGCAAATGGGAACTGTATCAGCCCTGGTGGACCAAAGATTCAGGGTAGGGAGCCCGGCATACTAGAGCCCTAGACAAGATCTAGGATTCTAGGAAAAGATGTACAGGCATGCCCATGAGGACCGGATGGGACATATGGGGCCTCAACAGAAGCCAATGGGGAGCAGAGAGGGCCAGACATTCTCAGACAGGAACACAAGCCATCTTTTCTTCTCCCAGGGAGCTGAGGTGGCTTCCAAGGAGAAGGGAAAAAAACCAGGAGACTCCTGAGTGACTTTCACTGCCAATTTGGGGTGGCAAGACTGAGTTTGCTCTACCCCACAGCCTACAGGAGAGGGAGCTTGGGTCTTCTCAGCAATGAAAAAACAAGAAAGTATCTTTCTTCATGATGGAAACTGAGGATTTATTATTATTTTGGTTTTTCTGACACAGGTCTCCCTGTAACCCTAGCTGGCCTGGAACTCAGAGATTCGCCTGCCTCTGTTTTTGACTATTGGGATTAAAGGTGTGCACCACAACTGGCAGAACAGAGGTTTTAAAAGCACTTTGTTGGGGCTGGAGAGATGGCTCAGCGGTTAAGAGCACCGACTGCTCTTGCAGAGGACCTGGGTTTGATTTCCAGCACCACACGGTGACTACGAACTGTCCTTAACTCCAGTTCCAGGGGAATCCGAAGCCCTCTTCTGACCTTTGTGGCACTGCACAACACGGGTGCACTCACATACATGTAGGCAATACACTCGTAAACATAAAAATAATATTTTTTTAAAAAAGCACTTTGTTGAGGTGGTGTCTGGTCTTTGAGCAGTAACATGAGGGTGGTGCTGCTCCTGTTCCAACCATGTCAATACAAACAACATAATGCAATGTCACACTGTCTGCTGCATTCCTGAGGCAAAGCAAGGTGTAGGGCTCTGGGAATTCTCAGCATGGCCAGCATTCCCCAGAGACTGTGCTCCTCCCCAAGCAAAGCAGCCCACATTGCTCAAAACATTCCGTGCCAGCCAGCACCTTGTGCTTTCCCTTCACAGCATGACTGAATTACTTTTCTGTTGATATCCTCACTGCTCCCCTCTGATTCTTCCACTACAAACCACAGTTTAAAAATCACCAGTGTTAGGGTTGGAGAGATGGCTCAGCAGTTAAAAGCACTGACTGCTCTTGCAGAGGACCTGGGTTCGGTTCCCAGCACCCACATGGCAGCTAACAACCTACCGGTAACTCCAGTTACAGGTGCTCCAAAGCCCTCTTCTGACCTCTGTGGGCAATGCACGACATGGATGCACTCAATCGTGCAGGCGATACACTCAGACACATAAGAAATAAAAATACTAAACCACCAGTTTTTCTTGTCTTCACAAAGACCCTGAAGGTCTTTGCTGTTCCCTGAATCCCAGTGTGGCCAGAAGCCTGCAGTGTAGTGCTCACAGCATTTGCTGAAAGGAGTGTGTGTGGAAAGGGGAGGGACACTGTGAGCCTTAGCCACAGCATTTCCAAGGACCCCTCACTCATCTCTGCCAGCTCCCTGTCCCAACAGCCCCTTCCCTCACACATACCCCACCAAAACTCTGAGCACGCTAGAGTGCTGGCTCCAACCCCAGAGGCTGTTGGGTCTTATTTCCAGGAAGAAATGCATCAGCCACATACAGAGGTCCTATGTGCAAGGATTTCTTTATTATTGGTAGTATTTACAGAATTTCATATTCAGAACAGAACAAGGATCATATAGGTTCATCTGAAAAGAGAATCAGATTATACACATGACCCAAGAGGGCCCAACTAGGACAGAGGCTGAGGAAGCTCACTGTGCTCGGGGGCTGGATCTTCCCAGGATGAACGCAATCATGGCCCAGGTGGTGACTATGCTGCAGACTCTGTAAGACAAGGACACAGGTCAGAGGCCTGGCTGAGGCAGGGTCTGAGGACTTATAGCAACTGGCATGGGCTCACCATTCTCTGCTTCCAACTTTGACTACCAAAAAATATCCTTTTTTTTTTTTTTTTTTTTTTTGAGGCAGGATCTCAAGTATCTTAGGCTGGCCTCAAACTTGGTACATAGCCAGGGACGACCCTGAACTTGTGATCCTCCTGCCTCCATCAGTGGTCATCCTTTCTCCCAAGCCCCAGTCCTCACTAGTGCAGCCCCCTCAGATGGGACTTGCTTACTTATCACTTCCTGTGGCAACCCTTCATAGTGGCTTCACTGGCCCTCTGCTGCCAGGCACTCCCCACTCACGGGCTGCTGCCCCTCTGCCTGCCTGCTGCTCCCTACAGTTCCCTGCCTAGTTCACCCTCTTCCTGAATCTTTTTTTTTTTTTTTTTGGTCTTTTTGAGACAGGGTCTCCCTGTAGCGCCTAGACCAGGCTGACTTCGAACTCAGAGATCTACCTGCCTCTGCCTCCCAAGTGTTGGGACTAAAGGCATGGGCCACCATGGCCAGCCAACTTCCTTGAATCTTTAAGAGACTCCCATCATCTCCCATGAATTACACCCTCCCCTCAGGAGAGTCCCCCCACCACCTTTCATTTTTTATATTTGTCACCAAGATGGCGTATGATTCGCTGGCTTGTTATGTTCCTTGTGACCTCCCACTAGCATGAGAGCACCACTTCGGTTCAGAGCTGAAACTCCCGAAATCACAGCAGGGCCCAGCACTCCAGCGCGATGCTCTGAATAACCCTTCGCTTCACACCTGTCAACAGCTTCTTAGCAACCCACAGCAGCTAGCGACAGGGCCTGAGTCAGACGGAACGGGACCTCGACAGGCAGAAGAGCAGCCTTCTACCAGGTCACTCACTGTAACAGGCAGGTGATATTTGGGGAGTGTCTCCAGTACCGGTACAAGGAGACCTGCAGGGTTGGGTGGCTCCTGTACTCCTTCAGGACGCTGCGGGCACTGCCAAAGGAAGAGTGCCCAAGTCAGCAGGCAATATGGCCAGAGCCATCAAGGCGTGATGAGGGTAGAGGTGGGCCTGAAGCGAGGTACCTACTCCTTAAACTTATTGGTCAGAAGCAGGAACTGGCTTTGCGTGAACCGCCTGACATCAAACTTGCAGAGATTCTGGAACTCATGGTAAACCTGCTGCTCACTGACCCCAGACCACCTCCTGACAGTGAGGATGAGGACGGGAGGGCGGATACTGGGGTAATCTGGCCCAGAAAAGTTCTAGAAAACATGAACAAGAGGGATTCTCCACAGTTCTTACTGATAACTTCATGCAACTTGGAAATGCCAGAAATGGCTTGGTTTGGGGTTCAGAACAGGGAGGAGAGAAGGGAGGAGGGAGGGAGGGAGGGAATCTATGTGGGTTTTCACAGAAAAATGCAAGAAACAAAAAGTGTTGTGGGGTGTGAATCTCCTACTCAGCTCTTACCATGTGGCTCTCAGAACCCTGTAGCACATCCCAGGGAGCACCAGGCTGCCTCCCACCACAGGCCTCTGAGCAAGGTGACAGCAAAATGAAACCTACTCACAATTTTAGGGACCCGGCCTCGAATAAGATTCACTTGGTTCACATAAGGCGCCAGCACATCGAGGTACTGAGAGAAGGAAGGCTCATGCACAGAGCCACTGCTGCATGGACAGAGAAAACCCCAAAGCATTCAGGCACATGGGATTGTGCACATGGCCTCTGCCAAAGCTAAGGGTCTGGTGAGTAGGCTTCTTCTCCCACACATACAAGCAGAGTTTAACCAAGGGTTCTGGAGGGTTACCATCTGCTGGTGACAGTTTGGTGAGGGTCCCTCTGCTGACCCACACTGGCAGCAGGCTCAGAGAACGAGTGGAGGAAGATTTACTTTATAATCTCTGATGTGACATCACCCTTGACCCATGGCCATCCTTTGCCCCAGAGCCTCTTTCTATAACCAGATGCCACCCCAAATGTAGATCCTGGACGCAACACAGGCCAGAGAATCAGGCAAGCCTGGATAGTCACGTACTTCTCTAAAGTGAAGAGGGTTTTCCAGTTATGGGGACTAAAACAAAGGGTTCAGGCGTGAGCCCAGCACTGAGGCCGGCTGGCATGGGCAGCCCTCTCTCTGCCACTACACAGCACTTGCCACTGAGTACCTGCATGCTGACAAACCCCAGGAAACAGGGATAGCAGTGGCAGAGTTCTCATGTAAGTTATAAGCCTGCATCAATGTGTCATGTGATATTTGTATCTAGTGCCAAAATAAAGCTCCTAAATTAATATAGTAAAAAAAAAATCTTTTTAGCCCCATCCCAAAAAACAAGTTACAGCTGTGATTAGCTCCTTCTCCGGCCAGCTAAGTCCTATGGAAATAATGCACCCCGGGATGGCGCTGTAGGTGTACGTGTCAAAGGTGCCCCGATGCCTCTGTGCGGAGCTGAGGTACTGGGGTGCTGCCATCAGGGAAGATGCATTTGTGATTCTGATTTACACTTCCATTCTTCCCTGCCCAGGTGTTTCTCCAAGTCACTATCCTCCCTGCAGCCTGTGTGAACCCCAGTGACGTGTCCTTTGTCAGCCTCAACACCTCCTCCAATGACTGTTACCTCCACAGCTGTGAGAACATGCACAGCTAAAAAGCCAATGCACTGAGCTGGGGAGTTCTCTGGAAGGTACCAAGACCCCAGTCAAACCTTGCTGTGTGGACCTCCTGATGTACATGAATTCTCCCAGCGCCAAGACCGGGGCAGGACCCAGACAGGAGGCGAGGGTGGTAGGAAGGGGTTTCCTGGAGAAAGACTACTTGCTACAACACTATTCTGGCTATGAAGAGAGATATCCACACATGATGTGACACTTCCCCCTTTGGTGGCCCTGTGACCCAGAGGTCCTGGCTTGCAATAAGGACTTGCTGAGTCCTGACTAACAAGATGGAAGGGTACTCACCCGTGCATCCTTTGTAGGAGCAAGTGTGCCACTTTCAAAAGGACTGGAAGAAAAAGCAAGTGATGTGACAGACCTCAGGGCTTTATGGAAGAGTACAAACTCAATCTCTATGAGCAACACAACAGGACACGGACAAAAACCCAGGGCCAACACTAACAGAGCACCCTTGGAAGAACAGCAATGATTACCTGACCCGCAGAGGAAGGCATCATACGCTGCTTCGTGGGGGCACTTGGTCTCAGCTAAAGTAGTTTTCCAAAAGTAAGAGGGGGATCCGGCAGCAATTAGAAACACAGCCTGGGGTGGGAGCCGAGCCCCCCCGCCCCCCACCATTCAACATCCACGCCCGCTGTGGCACACACCAGTGTACCCTTCTCCCTGCTCATCAGCACTGGACACCTTGTCCTCCCTATGTGGGGACAGCCAAGAGCCCAGGGCTTCCAGACTAATCCCACTGAGAGAAGACTGCTCCCCAGGCCCAGGACATGCTCTTGCATCACATATCTGAAGGGCAGAGTTGAGTGAAGCAGAGCAAGGAAGGCTGGGAAGGAAACCTGACGCAAAACTCCACAACCTGCTGCCTGGGGGTCCAGGGTGGAAGAGACCCTCAGCTCAGCCCCAGGGTACTTTCCCAACTGTGCAAGGAGCCAGGGCTCATGGGAACATACCATATTTTTCACACTGCCTTGCATGAATAATCACTGGTCCAGAATTCTTGGTGGGATTCAAGTTACTATTAGATAAGAAAGATAAAGACCAACTCACTGAAAATAACTTCTTCCTGTTGCTTCCCAAGCCCCTTAACTTATAAAGATACATGCTCAGCACATCCTATTTTTTTATTTTTATTTATTTATTTTTTTGGTCTTTTTGAGACAGGGTCTCCCTGTAGCCCCAGCTGGCCTGGAACTATGTAGACCAGGCTGGCCTTGAACTCACAGAGATCCACTTGCCTCTGCCTGCCAAGTGCTGGGTTTAAAGGCGTGCACCACCACACTCTTTTTTAAAAGGTCAGAACAGATGACATCTTGGAGATGTGGCCACAGCACAGGAGAAAGACCAGCAGGGGCCCTAACTGATCATTCTGGGCATTTAGCAAACATTCAGGAACCAAGTTAACAGGTTGCTGTCTGCCCTCTTGGAGCTTTGAGTCTTGTGGTCTGAGCAACAAGTACAGAGACAAAGTATGTCTTTGTGTCCTGAGGTGGAGACAGAAACTCCAGCGTCCTTCAGGACAGTGGCCTCAGGCAGGCAGGCTTCCTGAAGCAGGTAGCACTAAAGCGGTCTTGAGTCATGTGAACTGACCCTACTGAAGGACTGCAGTGATGACAGTGATGACAGCCACGGAAGCCAAGAAGAGCAGGCCATGACCCTGAGGAGTCGGCCAGGCCTTGTGCAGAGCTTGGCCACGGAGAGCTGGCCTGAAGGGCTGTGTGAAGGGCGAGGCCGATGTAAAGGAGATCCTACAACAGAGAGGAGGCTTCAGGAAGCACTAGGGGATCACAACAGCCCAGTGATCCCAAGAGATCACTCAAGGGGAACTGAGGGAAACTGAGCAGTGGGCTACAAGCTGGGAAACCAGTGAGGGCTCCTCCTCCCCTTCCTCCCCACCGAGGCTAAGGCAGGAAGACTGAAAATTCAAGGCCTGCCTGGGCTCCACAGTGAGTTCACAGCCAGCCTTGATCAACTAGTGAAAACAAAATGTCTCAAAATAAGTTCTAAACAGGGCTGGGATGTAGGCTCAGTGGTAGAGTGCTTGTCTAACACTGAAAAACTTTGGGTTTAATCCTCAGCACCGTAAAACCAATTAACTAACTACAGTCTGCCTGAACAACAGAGATGATCCTCAGAGCTCAGAGAAGCAGAGAGGCTGTAAAGAGATTTACAGAGAAACATCAGTTGGGCATGACTGAGTAGACAGGTATGGGTGTCTCAGCTCTGGGGCCTAGGGAACAGTGACAGCATCCACCAGGAAGGAAATCACCACTGTATTTGTTCTCTCGCCTCTTCCAAACCCCTGGGTGCTGAGTCTCTCTGAGCTTCATTTTCTCACTGTGAAACGGCCAGAAAGACTGCCGCTCTGCCACACACAGCTATCGGGTTAGGACTGTCACAACGGTGATGACAGCCAACCTCCAGAAAGCACACACCAGGTACAAAACCTGCCCTCATCCTCCCGCACTGATGACCTTATGTGACCCTCATCACGACCTCATGAGTTATGCTAGGTTTTTATTGCTCATTTCATAGATGGTGACTTATGAAACAATGAGTGTCAAAGCTGGGATTTAAGTCCGGAAAGGCCAGGATCAGAACTTGTGATTTTAAAAACAAAACACTCTCTCAACTCCAGCCCACACCTCGGGAACACATCGCCTCCAGCACTGGACCTGGCATCCTACAAACTTAGATATTCCAGGCCCTTTTAGGGACACAAATGAATGTCAAGTTGAAGGTGCCTGCAGGTCATGCAGGGGTCGGGGGGAAGCACACTGAGAGGGAAGCCTAGATGAAGCTTCCCAGAGCTGCCCACTGTGAAGTTCGGCTGCACACAAGCAGCGTGGAGCGGAACAGAAGTGAGGTAGCAGGTAAAGGCTGCTGGGCACAGTCATGGGCGAGAGGAAAGCTGAAGGAGTCCTCAGGACGCAATCCAGAAGACGAGTAAGGGAACAAACAAGGATGGATGACAGTGCATGGCCCGAACACCTCCAACAGCAAAGAGAAATTCAGAGGATGCGGCCCCACTGAGGGAGAACGAGGCCAAGGGTCTCCAAGGCCACAGTAAGGCACTCCTTGCTCCACTCAGGTGTCACAGCTTGTTCCAAATGCCTTCTGTACAATGTCCTGTCAAATATGACCACACAGACGTGTATGCTGGGTAATTAGTGAAGGGTGAGAAGACCTGTCAACACTGGGTGCGGTAAACGGGGGGTTGCTACGGGGACACATTGCAAAGGAAGGAACAGACTCGGCCTCTAGGTAACAGATGTGCTGTCAGTTTTAGGCACCTCACCAATGGCTTCCTACCAGTGAAGAGATCCTGATCCTGTCAACACACAGCCCTGTCACACGTATTTCCAAGCCCCTGCCCATACCACAGGGTTACAAGAGAAGTCAGGGTAGAGGGTCACAAAAGGATTTCGTTTGGTTTTAAGTTTTAAATGGTGCTGATAAGAGAAATGAGAGAAGGTGAAGCAGGGTCTCCAGAGGGAGAGAAGGTGAGTCTAGGGAGAGGAGGGAGGAGGCTCCAGAGCCAGCAGAGGCTGCTGGGGTCGGGGGGCAGGGAGAGGAGGCTGAGCCTAGGGAGAGCAGCCCTGCTGGCCTGGCCTCAAACAGGGAAGGCACTTGAGCTGGATGCAGCCCAGTTGGTGAAGTGTTTGCCTAGGATGCACAAAGTCCTGGGTTCTATCCCCAGCACCCCATAAAACTGGGCCTATTAGCACATGCCCATAATCCCAGCACTTGGGAAGCAGAGGCAAGAGGACAGGAAATTCAGGTCATCCTCAGCTACAGGGTGAGTTTGAGGCCAGCCTGGGATACATGAGATCCTGTCTCAAAAGAAAAATAAATGAGAAGTGCTTGTGTTTGCTGGACCAGGAGACAATGGCAAAGATGACGAGGACTGCAAAAGTGTTCAGGAGGACAAGCAGTGGGTGGAGAGATCCACCTCTGATCTCCTGAGACAGAGACAGGAGGCACTGAGCGGTGGGGGTGGGGACGACACATGACACAACACATCCAGGCAGCCAGCCGGGCCCAAGGAACAGGAAGTGCACCTAGGTCTCAGGGTCCTGGCAGCTGAGGCCACAGACCTTGCTGCAGAAGCATCCCCAGAAACACCTTCCTCACCTGCTCAGCACTTCATATACTTCTGAGAGGTTGGAGACCCGTGGGAAACGCAGTTCCTGCAATTATGAAGAACAAAGCACTGTTCCTGGGGTCAACATCTCCCACAGGTCTCACCAAAAAGCTGCTAAATGAACCGGCAAATGCTGGCCTCGACGCCCACTTCCTGTCCTCCAGTGATCTAACTGCCCTTCTTCATCACAGGTCAGGAGGCCGGGACTCTGAGGTTCCTAGAAGAGCTCCCCATGACCTTGGCTAGAAACAAGTGTCACCCACACGACTCACACACTATGTATTTAGGGTGTCTGTAAACACAGGAATCTGAGACACTAGACCGAAGTGTGGGCCATCTATGTAGACTAACATTTTAGAGACAAGAAGGCCTTGGGGTAATGTCAGATTACTAAGTGCTGGGATTCCATCAAAGATGAAAATACGCGAAGCTCAAACACGAAGGTCCTCTCTGCAAAGACGTATCAAGGAACATCCCCCATGTTTAAATTTTATTTTTATTTTATGTGTATGAGTGTTTTGTGCATGTATGTAAGTGGATCATGTGTGTGGAATGCCCTCAGAGGTCAGAAGAGGACATCGGAGCCCCTGGAACTGGAGTTACAGGTGGGTGTTAGCCTCTGAGTGGGTGCTGAGAACTGAATCCAGGTCCTCTGCAAGAGCAGCCAGTGCTTTTAAACCATATCTCCAGACTCCAAGGACCCCCTTCGGATTTCTGCTGCCCCCTCTCGGATCATCCACTTTAAGCCATTACTCTAAGGCTTTAAAACACTGCTGTGATTCCCCTTTCTCTGTTATCCAGTTTAATTTCTAAAAAGCACTTAGAAGTAGTTTGAAGCTTCGTTTCTCCACATGTGCAACCCGGAATACAGGACAGTCAACTAGGGAGTTTTCAGAACACCACCTGACCACACAGGAAGTGGGAAGCAGAGCTGGGGTCAGTTTGTAACTTCACCTACAATGCTAACTCACTGTCAGAGAGCCTATGACCTCAGTGCCTAGCGTAAATAAGGTTTCCCCAGACTTTGAAGAGGGACCTCATCCTGGTGCTCTTTAAGCATATCTCAAATGGTACAAAATGTGTATTAACCTCTAAAATAAGCTGCTGCAGCCAGACATGGTGGTATATACGTATAATGTGGGCACTTGGGAGGCTGAGTCAGGAGTTGTCAATGAGTTCAAGGTCAGCTTGGGCTACCTAGCCAGACTCTATCTTAAAAAACAAAAAACAAGGAGCCAGAGAGATGGCTCAGTGTTAAGAGCATCTGTTGCCCTCGCAAAGACCTGGGTTAGGGTCCCAGCACCCACATGGTGGCTCACAACCATTTGTAACTACAGTTCCAGGGGATCCAACGCCCTCTTTCTGGCCTCTGCAAGCCCAGGCAGGCATGTGGTACATAATATATATAGGCAACATAGTCATACATAAAACAGAAATCTTTATTTTTATTTTTTTTGAGGCAGGGTTTCACTACATAGACACAACCACCTCTGCTACTGTAGACCCGGCTGGTCTTGAACTCACAGAGATTCATCTGCCTCTGCCTCCTGAGTGCTAGGATTAAAGGTGTACATTACCACACCCAGTGGCCAAAACAAATCTTTAAAAAAAAGAACCCCATAAAAATAGTTTTCTGTTGTCTGATGTAAAGCTTACCAATTACATACAAATAAAACCAGATACCTTGTAGTTAGCTAAAATGCAGAGAAAGCTATGTGTTGCCTGCATGGATGCAACGGCCCTTACCAAGGGACTCCATCCCTACCTTCCAGATGTCCTTTGTCACATTCTTGGTATCAATGAGGACAGGAAACAGGCTGTGGATGTTCTGCTTAAACTGGTCATAGCTTTCTGAGGGGAGAGACCCAGACAGAGAAAAGTGAGTTCATGGGTGGGGGAAGGACACGGGCAGCTCTCTGGCCCAGCTCGCCACCAGCAAGAGCAGACTGAAGTGGCAGCACTTAATTCTCATCAAGAAGTTTGCTCTCCAGCCTGCTGCCACTGCCCCTCCTGTGGGAGGGGCCACGTGGTTTTCCACTAAACACATCATCCTGACTCTTGCCAACAGCTTTAACACAGCCCTAGAAGCTCCAGCCCCTGGGATGAAAGATGGACCAGCAGGGTGTTTGGAGAAGAGACAGGAAATTAGCTCTAAGTGATATGAGAAAACTCCAAGACAAAACCTACTGGACCTCACATTAAGGGAATCAAGTGCCCTGATAGAGAAACCTTTTGTTTTTGTTTCTGGTCTTTTTGAGACAGTCTCAAAAAGTGTTTTTTCAGACAAGGTCTCACTGTGTAGCCTTGGCTGGCCTCAGACTCTATGTAGACCAGGCTGGCCTTGAACTCATAGAGACCCACCTGCCTCTGCCTCCCGAGTACTGGGCTTAAAGGCATGTGCCACCACATCCAGCTAGAAGGGTCTTTTAATGAACTATTAATTGGCTGTACTGTAGGCAGTTTTACCATACAAAGCTGAAGGAGTCTGCTGTACACAAGGCAACACACACTTCCCAAACAAAGCCCCCTGGAGTCTCCGGCTCCATGTCCTACTCCCCCAGAGGGAACGACTGGCAGGTCCTCTCTGGGGTCCTTATGCCACATCTCCAAGTGCCAAGTGCATGCCGTAGCTGTCGGCACCTCCCACTGTCTTCTACCCACAAAGAGGTCCTGACCTCTCCTTCCACCTGCCCCACGGACTGCAACTTGACAGCCACAGGCCCCAGAGCCACAAAGGCCCCACTCACTTCCTTTCTGCCCCTTTTCCTTCTTCCACTGAGTATGTTCTGTTTTCCTCAGGTTTTTACTTTTAGTCCATGTTATTAACTTTGCCTCTAATTCTCCCCAAATGCTCAAACTTAGCGCTCTGTCTGCTCATTGTTGGTCTAGTGCGTTCTGCACTCATGAATTTGCTCAGTCCCGCTACCATGCTCAGGCGGCGTCTGCTGTCTCACAGGTAACCAAGGAGCCAAAGGAGCTGGCTGGAGGCCACAGAGATGAGGGATGGGCAAGGGCTCCACCACACATCTCTAAACCCAGCGTTTATCCAGTATGCTACACTGCCAAGTGTCTGACAACAGAGTCAATCCTGGAAAAGGAGCACAGCCACAACTGTAGCCCAGGGAGCTGATGAAATGACATCTGTTAGGTGTATAGTGACACAAAACCAGACATAAAATCAGCTATGCAGTATATGCAAATATGTGGACTCAGAACAAACGGGAGACCACAGCAGCGCTGAGCCCGGTCTGCTCACATTCCTTTTTAAATATTTTATTTACTATTTTCATTTTATGGGTGTACTGCCTGCATGTATGTGTCCTGCAATATCCGAGGCAATCAGAAGAGGGCACTGGATCCCCTGGAACTGGAGTTACAGACAGTTGTTAGTTGCCATGTGGGTGCTGGGACCCTAACCGAGTCCTCTGGAAGAGCAGCCCGTGCTCTTAACCGCTGAGCTATGTCTCCAGCTCCAACCTTCATACATTTCTGATTTTGCCAAATGTTACACCATGAACCCGAGAAACTTTAGTCATAGGAGGGTATGCAGTCATATTTTCCCTCCTTGACAAAGTATCCTTGTCTCTGGGAAGATGGTACAGATAGGCCTAAAGATGGAACTCCACCCGACCTTCACAGAAACCTGCTGCTGCTGGGGAGGGCACACCAGACAACAAGCTACAATACAAGGAGACGAAAGGCTCACCCTACCTGGAAGAGGTCTGAAGAACTTCTCATGCAGATGCAGCAAGTCCATCATCATGTTGTGTCCTACCAAGGGCTACTTGGAGTAAAGCAACAGGTGAGAGAAATGAAATTCTAGAAGGAAGGACAGACACTGCAGACTGAAAGCTAATCCTTGCAAAGGACGTAGCTTTAGAGCCCACACTGTGGTTCCCGTCACCGATGACCTAGCCTGCCATTCTGCTCCCATGTCAGGTAGTAGGACTGTCGAGAGGGAAGAGCAGAAGGAGACAAGGAAGGAGGGAGAGAAACGGAGGGAGGGGACAGAGGGAGGAGAGATGAGTGAGCAGAAAAGATTTAAGGCAGGATCCATACTGGGACTCTAAATGTGAGGCAGATATGGTTTCTCTAAGCATTCTTGGGCAGCTACTGTTGGAAATTCCTATGCGGCTGAAAGGGACAAAGACAGAGCAGCATGTCCTATGTGAAGTCTTTCCTCAAATTACCCACCACGTAAAAACAAGACTGGAGCCAGGTGTGGTGGCACGCGCCTTTAATCCCAGCACTCAGGAGGCAGAGGCAGGTGGAACTCTTGAGTTCGAGATCAGCCTGATCTACATAGAGTCCGAGGCCAGCCAAGGCTACACAGTGAGACCTTGTCTGAAAACACACACACACACACACACACACACACACACACACACACACACCAAAACCTACCACCATAAATACAAAAGATGAAGAAGAAACAAGAAAAGAGACGTGTCCTACCTTCTGGGCCTTCACTAACATCTGGAAAAAGACAGAAAAGCCCCTGGCAGAGAGAACAATCTGCTCCTTCCAACAGCTGACTTGGTCACAAGAGGCGTGCTCCAGGTACCAGCGATGCTGCTGGCTCACCTTCTTCACCACCACCTGCAATGGAAACAGGGCTCCCTGAATGGCTGGGAGTGCGCTGAGAACCAACAACTCTTCACCTCAAGATGACAGGAGAGGAACACAAGAGCCCTTTGCAGAGGCAGAGCTGACCAGCAAGAGAGGCGATGGAGCTGCTAGGACACCCACCGAGGTGACTCACCCCCTCGTCTTTCAGCACTGTCCAGATGTTGGGGAGGGCCTGCCTCAGCACCAATTGGACCTCAAAGGCTTGGAACCCTGCAGCAAGGAAACACGAGGCGCACACAAGACCTAGAAACCATCGAACCTTCCCCACTGGAGAAGCCGGAGAGGAGCAGAAGCTGAGACCCCACGACTGTGGATCCATGGAAAGTCTGCCTGAGCCCCAAGAAAGTGCAAGCCTGCTGCTCCATTCTCAAAGACTTTGGTGTCCGGGATGTTCTTAATCAGGGGCATTGAAGAGTGTCTGTTTCTGTGGTTTGCAGCTATCAGTATTAACCATGTTAGAAATCAATATTCGATTTTAAAAAGCACTTTAAGCTTTTTTAACAGCAAAAAAGTTAACACTTATGAAAAATAACTACTTTCTCAAAATATTTAGTGAGCTAGGCATGGTGATACAAGCCTTTAATCCCAGCACTTGGGAGGCAGAGGCAGGCAGATCCCTGTGAGTTCGAGGCCACCCGGGTCTACATAGTGAGTTTCAGGCCAGATGGGGCCACAGGGAGCCCGTGTCTCAAAAGGACCAAAAAAAAAAAAAAAAGTGAAAAGAGTGATATTGTTTTACATCTTTGCACTTTAACATCTGCCTAGAATCACATCTGCTTCTGCATTTGACCTACTGTGATATGTTGTGATTCTCAAGCACCAAATGCACACACACAAAACAAACAAAAACCTGAGCTGAGACAGATACAAAGGGGGGAAAGAGAAGCATTACAGCCTCATCGGAGGACTCTGGATGCTCTTTTTAAATGCTATGTAACTTTCAGTACATGGTTATTTTTTAAATAGTGGAATCTGGAATGGTTATTAGAGAGCATTCTTGTATGTTACATTAGAGTCTGTTGGTCTGTCTCAGGCCTTGGGTGGACTTTTTACCCGCACTTTCATAACAGCATGCACTGACTATTTGAGAAATACTGGTTTGCAGTTATGTAGATTCTTCAGATGTTCATACATTTCACCTTGAGACACCAATAGAAAGCACACGTTCATGAGCGCCCGCCTCATCAGAATGGTCTCAGTTAGGAGGCTGTCAAGCTTATGGCAACAAATCCAAGTTCATCAAAGCTTGTTTCTGTTTTGAGGCAAGGTCTCATGTAGACCAGGCTAGTCTCAAACTCACTATATAACTGAGGATGATCTGCCCCAACTTCCCAAGTGCTGGAGTTATAAGCGTGCACCACCTAATTTATGAGGTGCTGGTGATTAAACCCAGGGTCTTGTGCATGCTAGACAAACACTACCAAGTGTAGGACATTCCCAAACACCTGTGTTTAATTGAAAGCTTAAACTGCCATCACTAGCAAGCACTGAGTCTTAAAGTGACAGGCTTTTGCATTTGAGAAAAATGGCTGAAAATACCCAAGTCTAAATAATCACAGTCAGTTCAGCTCTTTCCAGTAAAAGTTAATTCCATTAAAAGAAGGGGGGGAGGTGGCAGCAAGCGGCGGCAGCTGGGGTTGGAGTTGTAGCTCAGTGGTAGAGTACTTAATTAGAATGCACAAAGCATTCTGAGTTTGATCTCCAACACCACACACACAGACGCATGGGGGGCGGAGAGGGAGGGAGGGAGGGAGGGAGAGAGAGAGACACACACACAATTGATCCAGTTCTCAACTGAAAAAGCCACACATGCTCTTCCTCGATGCACTCTACTTCAACATACAGCAACAACAGTGTAAACACACTCATTTTCCATCCATATATAAAAGGTGACCAAAGGGGCTGGAGAGACGGCTCAGCAGTTAAGAGCAATTACTGACATTCCAGAGGACCCAGGTTTAGTTCCCAGCACCCACATGGCAGTTGACAACCATTTGTTAACTCCAGTTCCGGGGGTTCCAACATCCTCTTTTGGCCTCTGTGAGCATAGCATGCATGTGGCACACTTACACACATACACGTAAAATAAAAACAAATCTTAAAGTGTTTTTAAATAAAAAATAAAAATGACGACCTAGGCTGAGATATGATAAAACTAAGAAAGAATATTACTTCCTCGTCATGGAGGGTCATATGTAAAATCTGCTTTTACTTTAAGTGAGATGAAGAGGTAGTGGAGCATAGGCTGATCCTCCTACCTTAACTTGTGCCAAGCTCAGTGCCGGCAGGCTTTACCCCCATCACTACAGCATCAGGGCAAATGGCACTGGCATTAACAAGTTATAGCTGAGGGACACTTCAAAGACACTTTTGACCTCACAGGCTTCATGGCCCCCCAGGGTCCACAGACAAAGACTCTGAGAACTGCTCTGTTAGGTCATGTGCAGTATGACTTCACACCGCACTGTGGAGTAACAAAAGTCAGTAAAATCAGGCATCCCAGTAGGATGGAAAGGATGGTTCATGAATGACTCTCCACCCTTGACATCCAACTTAGGTTGAAAAGTCTTGGGAATTCAGGTCAGAACTGTAACCCCAAGGACTAGCCATCTACAGAGCAAACGCATCAGACTCAGTCACGAAGCATTTAGGACCAGGACTTATAGGAAAGAGAATGTGTCTCCCAACTCCTGGTGCATTGCCATGACCTGTCCCCACCCTCCCACGTGGGAAGGAGTGGCCTCCTGCCTACCAGCGATGCCAGGCAGAGTCATCTGGTCACCTTCCTTCGCTAGGTCCAGCCACCGTGTCACCTCATCAATCACCACCTTAATCTGGTCTTTATCCAGAGAGCTGAAAACAGACATAGGAAAGCATATGTGTTGGTGGAGACCATGCCAGGCTCCCAAGGGCCTTCAGACACATGTTTCTGGAGCCCCTGTTCTAGCACTCTGCCTTTAACTTCATGATGGAAATTAACAACAGGGTCATTTGCTCTCCAGGTCTCTTCATGCAACAGGAAGGCAAACTCGGGCCTATGACCCTCAGGGGCCCCAAGAATGTATTCAAGCCTCTGCCTTGCTGGAGTAGGTGAAGGAATGAGGAAGGGGTTCTAGCCTGTGTTGAACACTGCTGTCAGGACTGCCCATGTGTGGCTCCCAGAGGACTTGTAAGCCACTGGCTGGAGACATGAGGAACAGACAAGGACTTGGGTGAACCCTCTACTCCTGTGTGCGATTCTATTTGGGGGAGGGGGCATCTGGAGAGATGGCTCAGCTCTCAAGAGCATAGGCTGCTCTTGTAGAGGACCCAGGTTCAGTTCCCAGCACCCACATGGAGGCTAACTGCCACCTGTAATTGCAGTTTCAGGGGATCTGATACCGTCTTCTCCATGGACATGGTGCTCACATATACACGTAGGCAAAACACTCATATACATACAATTTAAAACATAATCGTTAAATTATATTGGGATAAGCTTTCTTCAACATTTGAAAACAGCAGAAGATTAAAATTTTAAATAGTCTTCCCTTTATCTTTAAAGCATGAGGACTATTTTATTGAGAGGGAGAAAAACTGGGTGGAGAAGCTATAAATCTTGGCAGCTGCCAGGTGGTGTGAGATGGAGAAAAGGAAGAAAACTCTGCATGCCTTTTGAGCTATGGTCCAAGAAATCAGGCAGAAGTTGGGTGTGATGGCACATACCTTTAGTTTCAGCACTTAGGAGGCAAGGCAGATGGATATGAGATCAAGGCCAGCCTGGTCTGTGTAGTAAGTTCCAGGCCATGTGGGGCTACAGGGAGACCCTGTATCAAAAAAACTGGGTAAAGGGGGGAACTCAGGCAGGTTCGGCAATGGAGGTCAGCAAGCAGCTGCGGGGGCAGGCAGTGAGGAAAGTCAAGAGCGTCAGGGCAACGCATTTAGGATTCTAGGTCTCCAAAGAGAAGGAATGAAAAGGGGAAGTTGTGCCCTTGGAGTTAGAACTCAGAAAAGCAGCCAGGCACAGCAATGAAGTTCTGTAAGCAACGGTGTTTTTCCTTTTAAAAAGCTACATTTTTAGAGGCTGGAGAGATGCTCAATGGTTAAGGGCACTGGCTGAGCCCTGATGCTCCCAGCACCCACATGGCAGCTCAAAGTTTTAGGGGATCCAAAGCTCTTTTATGGCCTCCACGGGCACCACACACGTAGTACACATACATACATGCAGGCAAAACACTCAATACACATAAAATAAACATTTTTAAAATCTTTTTTTAATGCCACATTTTTATAGGAACATCAATAACAAGATTAAAAAACAAACAAAAAAACACAACCCACCAAATTCACATGATTACATGATTACCTGGACCACGTAATCATCACATTCCAAAAGCTAATTTGCTCCCCTTCTGAATGAACATGAAAAATCTCAAGCCCAAAGACCTTAAATGACTTACTCAAAACCAGCAACTGGGATCCAGGCTGCCACCTCAATGTGGTCACTCTGGACCCTAGCACAATCAGCGCGAAGCTGGAAGGTCAAAGGCTGACACAGGGGCCAAAGGAAAAAGCAACAACCTGCCCTGTGGGCACAGGTGAGTCCCACACAAGCTAGACCAACGCAAACAAGCTGAAGAGTTGTCGTCAGTGCCCTTTACGGCACAATCAGACCTACCCTGAAAATCCCTCAATCACACTAACCCATGTAACACCTCACAGCAAGCTCCACACAGTCTTGTCCCCTGGTACTGAATGGAATTCCTGTCTCTTTGAGTACCAAATTAATAGCTCCTTTCTCTCTCTTTTTTTTGGGGGGGGCGGTCTTTTTGAGACAGGATCTCCCTGTAGTCTCAGCTGGCCTGGAACTCACTGTGTAGACCAGGCTGGCTTTGAACTCACAGAGGCCTGCCTCTGCCTCCCAAGTGCTGGGATTAAAGGCATGCACCACCATGCCCAGCTATTTTCTCATTTTTATCTTTAAAAAATTAGCTGGGTGTGGTGGTACAGACCTATAAACAACAACTAGGAGACTGAGGTAGGAAGATGTTGAGTTTGAGGCCAGCCTGAGCTACGTAGCAAGTATCAGATCAATCAGGGATATATAATTGGGCTGGTGAAATAGCTCAGTAGGTAAAGGTGCTTGCTGCCAGCCTGACAGCTTGAGTTCAACCCCTGGGATCCACATAATGGAGGAGAGGACTTACTTCAGCAAGTTGCTCCACAAGTGTGCCATGGCACATGCACATCTTCACACATACACATGCGCACACAAAATGAAAAAAATTTTTTTTTGGTCTTTTTGAGACAGGGTCTTCCTGTAGCGCCAGCTGTCCTGGAACTCGTTATGTAGACCAACCAGGCTGGCCTTGAACTCACAGAGATCCGTCTGCCTCTGTCTCCTGAGTGCTGGGATTAAAGGCATGCACCACCAC